ATTTTCTTTACCTCATCCTAAAGATTGATTTTTGGGCCAAATCCAATACTCCGTTTCATCCCATTACTTCAATATAGTGACCCAACAACCCATCCTCCTTAAACTCAACCCGACCCAATTCTTTAATCAACAAAGAAAACCCAATTCCAGTCCAGCCTGAACAGCAGCAAGTACACGTCAATTTCAACATACCCAAGCGGCGTTAATCAGAACATCAACACAACAGTGAGCAAACGACGTCAAATTACACGGAGCAACTCACGATTCCAAATGGTGAAATACACAGAAAGCAGTAGCGGCAGTAGACGTACAACAGTACGCTTCTTTTCCTTGTCGTTTTCTCCAATTACCCCCGACAAACAGTACAAGTAGTACTGTTCCAGTGCCGATTCCAGCAGAGAACTTCGTCCTTGCAGCCTAGAGATGGCGCCATGTAGCATTCGAAGGACGATGAGCCGATCCTAGCCCTCCATCTCGCCTTCAAAATGTTGAGATTGTGAGAATCATTGGGGGTATGCTCTGGTTCCGGATAGAATTCCATTTGAAATTCAAATTTTGGCCCCTTTTCTAGTCCAATTTTGCCCTTGTCTATTTCCCCCCAAATTTTCCCTAAATCCTATCTATATAAATCCACCCTGTTCATTGTTCATGGGGGGATTTTTTTTGGAGAAAAAAGGGTACATAAGAGTTTTGGAATTCTTGGTTCCATAGTTTATAATTATGCGGCTTTTTTGTGGTTGTTCGAGTTTCAAGAGGTGTTGGAAGTGTCTCCGTCAAACTCATCGTCCAATCCGCTGCCCGAAAGGAGGTAATTCCTTTCTTGGCTTTGTTTTTGTTTAATTCCCAGATTTTCTATGTTTTCCATTTATGTGTTCTTAGCTTTGCTTTAATTTTCATGGGTTAGATTTTGGTTTGATATTTAAGTAGTTAATAAGGTTTCCTTTGAAGTTTCTTTGCTGTTTTGTTCTTGTTGCTCATCTGATTAGTACTAAAGATTCATAGAAATATCAAATGTTAGTTCATATCCTCTGTTAAGAGTTGTTGTTTAGAAAGTTATACTTTTTGGCGTTTTCTTTTGTCTGTTGGTTCCATGGCGTTGATATTTGCTCAAGTTTTGATTCGCTAGTAATCTGTTTAGTATAGTTGAGTTCACTTCAGTAACTGTTATTTTAAAATGAGTTCTAAACCTACGAATCTTCTTAGTGTTGGTTCGAAAATGTGTCGTTATTTAGCTTAAAGTTAATCGTATTCTTGGGTGCTGCATATGCCTTTTTAACTTGTTATTTTCTCAAATTTGTGGGCTATTTAAAGGTTCTCCTTTCATATCTGCTTGAGCTTCAGCTTCTCATTAAGCACGTCTTAGTTAAATTTTCATGCTTACATAGCTTTGGGTTTTAGTGGATTAGACTTCTAACACATATGATCTCTTACATTGTGGAAATGGTGTTCCATATATGAAGTGAGCTTACTTTGGCTAAAAAGTGACTATTATATTTTGACAAATGCTCCAACCTACTGTTTCATGTTGCGATCAAATGCGTCTCATTTCATGATACTTGATTGTTCATATTTTCTTAGTCTTATTTGCTGAAATAGTTTAAAGGTTTAAAAGTAAATCTAACATGTCTCAAAGTGCTCAATTCATGATGTGTTCTTCTGTTTTTTTTTATATTTATTTAGAGCAAAATCTAGTTTATTGTTAGAACGTAGCTTCTATGTTTGCAATCTATTACTGTATTAATTTAGCTACGTCTCAAACTTTCCACCTTATTGTGATTTAATGTGCTGATTTGGTTTGTTAAAAAAAAAAAAAGTAGGCAGCCTTTGTTTACATTTTTAAAACTAACATAGAAATGGCTTCCTAGTGTAATAGATTGTTTTGTTTGATTCTAAACTAATTTGGGTTAAATAATATTATCGCCATGTCTCTTTAATTCCAACGATGAAGTTTCACTAATTGAATTTTGACGTTAAAAGTTTCTGCTTCTAAGGTTCAATGTGCTCACTAAATAATAGTTTTGTTTCTTCAATGAGGTTCCTTTATTTCTCTAAGTGATATGGCTCTAGTTGGTTTAAGTTTGGCGTCGGAATGCTTTCAACTATGTTTTCCATACTTATTTACTAACTTTCTTTTGGTTAAATTAAAATCGTGACTATTTCTATTTCTATTTAAATGTTGTTAGAGTTTGTTTACATGTTGAAATAGTACAAGCCCCCCCTCCTCCCCCTTTCTTGATTAGTTGCTAAGTCTTGTTCTTTGTTTTTTTGGCATGGACTTTCTCTCGATTTACTCCAATGGACTCCCCTCTCTTGCATTTTCCTCTTCTTCGAGTCGACCTCATCAAATTCGCGAGAAGGAAGCTAATATTAGTGGGATAAAGCCCAAATTAGTGGCAGCAACATATTAGCAGAATTGCAGCAGTTCCCAAAGGGCTGGAATTTAAAATTTTGAACTATAAGTTCAATGAAATGACCAGCAGCACCTGCTGCCTTAAAAGGGCAGAAAAACGAGGAGCGAAATTGGGTTAAAACCCCGAGAAACTAGCAGGATGGCGGCAGTCCCCTAAGGGCTGAAAATTGGATTCTTTTTGGGCTTAAAAGGTTTAGTTAGATCAGCAGCACCAAAGAGCATTTAGGCAAAGTGCCTCGATTTTTGTTATTTGCCATCTTGACTTATGTTCTTAATTTGTTTTATAAATGCTAACACTTTCTTTCTTATATCTAATATAGACGAATCCTCCGGAAATTTTCTATTTTGTTACTTATTTTGCTTCAAGTATTCAAAATTTTCAAACCTTTTTAATTTACGTCATTTAAGCTTCAAGACTAACTTGAGAATTATCTATATTCTTTCATAGTTAGTATTTAATTTTCAAATTCATGCCTAAGTGATTGTGTTGATTATTCGACTCAAAAACTTGACTCGGATAAATTGTTAAATTAAAATTTTATTTTGGTACCTCAACATTTGAATTATTTCATTATTTGGGATGATATGAATGTTTGTAGTATCAAAAGATTTCTCACTTATATATAAAATAAAAAAAAAATAAAAAATAAGATTTTTCAAACAATTTAAGTTTTCTTTTAAAATTAGCCAACTTTTAAATCTGTCGGTCAATTGTGTGTTAGCGGATTCTCTAAGATGCCTAAACCCTTCCTTAGAGAATCATTTGAACCTTTACCCGACTCTGGTTTTATTAAAAATATTTTATTCAAAAAACCCCATTTTAAAACGGTTTTCTTAATTTTTCCTAAAAAATTAAGTGGCAACTTCCAAATAACTCATTTTTCCAAAACTTAACAAAAATTGCCAAAGTTGCGAAAATGGTCTCAAAACCTTAGTTTTCGAGATCGGGTTGTAACAGAGTGGTGACCTCACTGGGGATTCATCTAGGTTCTAACCAAAAGGATTTTATTGTTTGGCTAACTATTATTGTATTAATTGTTACTTTATGAAATTATGTATTTAAATTTTGAATATTAACTGTCATATTGTATTCATGACATTTTCCAATATGTATGTATGGTATATTAAAGAACGGTTTTGCGGAATCGCAACCGGACTTTTTATACTCAACCCTTTTCCGGAATGATCGGCAATTTATTGGTTCGTCATGCGTCCAATGGTTGTTGTGAGTTCTAGCCTATGTTGTCCTCTTGGGTTTCCGGTCTTTCAAAAGCCACTCCTAGTCGACTAGCGTAGAGGGAAACCAAATCCCAAATTTAAAGCATTTTGAACTAAGTTGACCCAGCACCCAAGGCGTGTTGGGCCCATTAGAAGACTACCTTGTGTCTTATTGACTCACGATCAATATAAGACGATCATTCAACTATTTGTTAAATTTGAAGGATATGTATGTCGATTTGTGCGTACCATTATCCCTTGGGGTTGAGTTTTTATTTTTTTTAGGTAGTTTCTTTATTTAAGTCAAAAGAATATCCTCCTCATCCGAAAGAAATCCAAAAGCATCAAGAAGTTCGGGAATGAAGATTTTATGTGGAAGCTTAGATTAGTTTACCATTGTACCCCTGCGTGTGATTGATATTTATTTCCCTTTCCTCTATTATGTATCCCCATTTGCTTTATTCATAAGGTTTGTGTATTTTTTTTTATTTTTTTTGTTGGGGCGATGGAACGTTTTACAAACGATATACGCATCCTTCAATCGTTAGGCCTACCTTTGGCTCAAAAAGGTCACATGCATGGTAGGAGGCGTTATATATTGTTTGTGTGTTAAATGTTACAAATTTTGTTTCATTTGTGCTTGTTTGACTTATGTGTTCTATACATATGTTTGGCTTTAAACATAATTAGTCCATTATTCTATTCCAAAGTATCAAAATCTTATACTCAATTTTCAAGCCTTCCAAAATACTCTTTGACTCCTTATCAAAATACGTTCAAAATCACTCAAGTTCTAGATTCAATAGAGCTTTAAAAATTATTAGGTCATCATTCAAATTTACGTTGACCTCGTTGTTGCTTGAGAATTATTTTTCACACCTACCTAGCCGGCGTTACTAAATATATCGCCAGTTTCATGTCATTTTAGAGACGTCTTTATTCTCGAAAGGACTTTTCAATTGAACCTTCCAAAAGGTACATTTGAATCTTTACTCAAATCCTATAGTTTACTTTGTTCGAATTCCTTTCTTTCATTAAAAGTCTTAGTTCACAAAATGATCAAATTTTTTTTTCCATTTAATCACTTTCTAGAGTCTCTCCCTCCTCGAATTTCGGACTAATTTATTTTTAGCAAAACAAATGTTATTTGTTTTATATGTTACTTTGGTTGATTATTATGACTAATGGACTAATTCTTTTATTTTTTGAGTTGTTTTTAGAACAAGAGACTGATTTGTGTTGGTAATCAAACTTGCTCACTTCACCAAAGTACCCGCTGATAGAACATCCATATTTTACACGGTCTAAGGTCAAGGAAATTTCTACAGACACTTCATTTCTTACTTGGACTACTAAGAGGACTCGGTCAAAAATGGATCCCACTATCAACACGGTTGCTTTGTCCGAAATGATCCCCACTACATCTGTCGCGGCCAATCCTAGTCCCTCAGTAGAAACAGAATCGTCCATGGAAGTCATCGCTAGTCTAGAGCAACAAATTGGTGAACTGAACTTCCTGGTAACACAATACCAAGCTGCTTCTCAGAACTTACCACCTGATGCTCGCTAAAAAGGGCCCATGCCACCTTTATTTCCAACTTCAAGTGAGCTCAATCAAGGAGATCATTTTACCACCTTTCAGCAAACTCAAAGTGGTCCCCTCCCTCATTTAACTTAGGATACTCCTCTTGTGTAGACATTTGCTCCTCCAAAAGCTCCAACAGTAACACATCATGCTCCGCCAGTGTACACTTATGTCACTGTTCCACCTGTTACCAAGGCTCGGGAGTTTCACCGCCAAGATGTTAATCATTATGTTGAAATTGAAAATGATGCAAAATCAATTGATGTTGAAATGATGAATAAGAAGATTAAAAGCTTAGAAGATGCTATGAGAGGTCTTCATGGGTTCTATAGTAGGCAGAGTGTGAGATATGAAGAGTTGTGCACATTCCCTGAGGTTGAGCTTCCACTCGGTTACAAGATTCCAAAGTTTGAAAAGTTCAGTGGATCAGGAAATCCTTTCTTTCACTTGAAAATTTACTGTGAAAAGTTGATTGGCGCTGGAAACAACGAAGGGATAAGAATCAAGCTTTTCAATCAAAGTCTGACTGGAAAAGCCTTGTAGTGGTACTCAAAGCAAGATGTGACTAAATGGCGTACTTGGGATGATCTAGCAAATGCTTTTGTGGATCACTATAAGTTTCATGTTAAAATCGCTCCTGATAGGATCTCTATTACCAAGCTAAAACCTAAGTCGACTGAATGCTTTCGAGAATATGCCATTCGTTGGAGAGAGGAAGCTGCTAGGGTGCACCCACCTATGGAGGAATCAGAAATGATCACCTACTTCATTCAAGCTTAAGACTCAGAATACTATGAGCGTATGGTGACACTGGGTGGAAAGACATTTGCAGAAGTTATCAAAGCTGGAGAAATGATTGAAGATGGGCTTAAGACTGGCCGAATACCGAGTTACACCTCATCCCAGTTTTCTAACAGGGCCTATCCAACAGGTTCCTTTTGAAGTGGAAAGAAAAAGGAGAAAGAGGTTATGATGTTGACCAGTCGAGGAGTTACCTCATATAACCGTCAACCACCCCCAAGCTATCCTAATTCACAATACTATGTTTGCAACAATCAAGCAACATTTCGTCCTCCACGACCAATGCAAAGTAATCGAAACAATGCACCTCGTCCCGATTTTGAGAAAAAGCCTCCCCGAGTCTTCACTCCATTGTGTGAGACACGAACTCAACTTTTTGACAGATTGAAAGAGGCAGGAATACTCCATCCAGTGGAAGCTAAGAGTGTGAATACTTTGGCCGAGTGCTATGACCCAAACAAGCGGTGTGCTTATCATTCAAGAGTTATTGGGCATGATACTGAGAAGTGTATCACTCTGAAGCACAAAATTCAAGATCTGATCGACAACGAGGTGGTAAAACTTGCTCAAGCCCCACCGAATGTGAACACCAATCCACTGCCTAAGCACAAGGAGTAGTTGTTGGCATAATCAGTTGCAAAGAAGAAGCAAGTTTCCTGAGAGTCGCACTTTTGGCATATTTTAGTCTTGCATTTGGAGTTTGTTTGTTTCATTCCCATGTAATCGCATTTTTATCGCTTTGTTTCCTTTTTTATCATTTGTTGGGATTTTATTTGTAATGAACTACGTCTGACCTGAATTCTGAAGAATGAGATACGTAGGCGGCCTATGTCGGCTTCGGTCACCCCTTTATCCCTTTCTAATGTTTTCTTGTACTTAGAACTACGTTTGACCTGATTCCTATTCAACGGGATACGTATGGGCCACACGGCTCAGTCATATTCCCCATAAGATTTTCATTTCCCTTTATAATGAAAACTGGGGCAGAATTTTGAGAGGATCTCAAAATTCGTTGGAAGAGGAATTTTTCCAACAAGTCAGAATCAAGGATCACTTGAGAGTTACAACTGGGGAAGAATTTTTGAGATTCACTCAAAAATTCAACTGAAAACTGCAGAACGTTCAAAGGTTATATTATGCCTTAAACTGGGGCAGAATCTTTGAAAAGGCCCTCAAAAATTCCATCAAGTGACATTTAAAGATCAAACAAGCTTGTAATTTAGAAGGCAAAGGAGCAACAGGATGGCAAGGCATAGCCAACATGAATCAGTCTCTCAAAACTTAGAATTTTTCTTTGGATGCAGGAACTACAAAGTTACAAGGCATCATTGGACCCACAATGGCCCGTCATAGCTCAAATGATTTCTACTCTTACTCATATTCTAAAAATTTCCCTTTCACTTTATTGTGACTTACACATTCTCAATTTTACAGGTGAAATAGTTTGGCATAATGGCGAAAACCATGAGATGCTATTAAAACCACTATGAGCCAAACAACTTCATTTGAAAACTTATCTTTTACTTTGATAATTTTATTTTGTTACGAATTACATTTGAACTCTGCAGGTGTCGTTAGAATTAGAGTCATAATTTCAAAAGGTCTTTACAATCTTAGAAGGATCAGTCCAAACGTTCACCAGAAGAGGGACATGAACCAATACTTTTCAAAGATGTTATTATGAGGGATTCCCGACACCAAGGATCCAATCCAACAAGCAGACTCTTATCCTCTATTTTATGTTGAAGAACTTTGCCCTTCATTGTTTCAAATCTCTTACCTTCTTATGGCAAATCTTTAGTTCTCTTTAAATTCTTTAAGTTTCAGGTTCGAACTACGTCAGACCTGATTTCTTGTTCCAGCAAGATACGTAGGCAATGCTATATAAGGATTCGGTCTTCTAACTGTTTCAAACTACAGACCTCAGAGGAAATAGGGCATGTTTTTGAATCAGTCATCCTTCATTTTTTGCAACTTATTTCAGTTAAGTACCTTTGGACTGGAAACATGGGCAATTTCTGAAACAATTCAAAGTTCTCAAAATCTTCGTTCAACTTCAAGTTTCAAAGATATCCTTTATCAAACCAGTCTTTTCTTTACAAGAGATTCCAGATTTTGAAGTAGGGACTAACTTTATGTAACATCCCTAATCGACCATTAGTGCTTTGTTTCAACGTTATAAGTTCTCAAAGCGTTCTTCCAGAATTCCCCGTTCTCTATGGTTACCTGATCATCATGATGCGTTTAAAAGTCTTGACATTTATCAATCTTTCTGTTCTTAAATAACAAATTTTCTATAAGCGCAGGGACGACAAAGTTTTAATGACAACTAGAGATGTTACCGGCTTAACAGACTACCAGAAGCTAATCAAATTACTATGTTTATAACCTTGCTCTCTATGTTTGAGATTTGTTCTTTATCATTAAGGTATTATATCAGAGCGTCACTTCCTTCAACGTGACACGTTAAATTATTATTGGAGTGTCACTTCCTTCAATATAACACGTTAAATTTTTATTGGAGCGTCACTTCCTTCAACTTGACAGTTATATTATTGGAGTGTCACTTCCTTCAACATGACATGTTATATTATTGGAGCGTCACTTCCTTCAACGTGACACGTTAAATTTTTATTGGAGCGTCACTTCCTTCAACGTGACAGTTATATTATTGGAGCGTCACTTCCTTCAACGTGGCACATTAAATTATTATTGGAGTGTCACTTCCTTCAACGTGACATGTAATATTATTGGAGTGTCACTTCCTTCAATGTGACACGTTAAATTTTTATTGGAGCGTCACTTCTTTCAACGTGACACGTTAAATTTTTTATTTATTGGAGAGTCACTTCCTTCAATGTGACATGTTATATAATGTTATCAAATCATCGTATCGTTCGATTCGACACACCATTTTGGATCACCACTTCCTTCAAGAGAAATACACTTGAAATTGGATCGTCATCTCCTTCAGTATGACATGTTAAACCAGGTTTGCACAAATTATATTTGTATTTTTATTACAATTTCTACTGACGATTTTCTCCAGATTTTGAAACACACGAAGTGGACTACGTCAAAATAGGACGCAACACAACGTGGAACTTTTTCTTAGCAACAAACTGGGACATAGTCCAAAGAGGAATATCAAACTCTTAGGACACGAGTTGAGGAACGACTTCCACCACAATCAAACCACATATCTATCCTAAGGCATGTGGGTATTTTCTTGGGTTTAATAGTTTCAGTTTCGCCTTCAGTGAAAATTTCAACTCTCACCGAAGGCAAATTCTCAAATTCGAGTGACAATACACCTAGAGCTTTGGAAGTCATGTCCATGTGAGTTCTTACATATGGGTGTGAGGGCCCCACATTCATAAGTGAGATGTTTGCAAGCCTCTTTTCCACACTCAATAGATTTGTCACTCATCCTTAAGCTAAAGGTTATTTCCGCATAAGAGATTTCCTTTTCAACCGATTGAGTCGAACTACAAGCAGTCTGATTCCCAAAGGTTAGGGATATGTAGGCGGACTTAATGTTGAAAACTCGACTGTACTTCAACAAACCATTTCTCACTTTATTCTCGAGTTTTTCGATCTCTCTATACTTCGACACCGAAATAGCTTTTGCATTCTTTCAAAATTGTACGATAAATCAAGAGTCTTTCGAACTACTAGTGGCCTGAGTTCTCAGGTAACCTGAGATAAGTAGGAAACTTAATACCAGAGTTCGGCCATAATTCCTCAGATTTCTTACCATTTAGCCATTCCGAAGAGTTGAATTAATGGACGGACAAAATTGGATTCGTCAATTTCATTTGCCTCGGATCTCTTTCATCTATCATAGTCAAATGAGGGGCAGTTGTTGACACCCAATTTTGGCCCTCCACGTTATAGATTAATCAACGAGTTTCTTTTATTTCCAAAGATTTGAAATAATTGACTTTATAAAATTTTAAAATGTCTTTCAAGTTACTTTTAATTAATTTTATCATTTTTTTATCATTTTTAAGTAATATATATGTTTTATATAATTTTGTATATAACTAGTATATTTATAAGCATTTCAAAAATCATCACAAAAAGATTTTTTATTTAGTAAGTATTTTATTATATTAATTTAGTTTAAATCATGGTAATAATTTTGAATTATTAGTTTATAATTAAGTTAATTATGTTGTTTCATTAAGATTAAGAAGCTCGTTAATTAATTAATATTAATTCGTCTTATTCAATATTTAGTCGGACTCACCAATTAAACTCGTTGGGCTATGGCTTAACTACAATTTTGTCATTTTCTTTACCTCATCCTAAAGATTGATGTTTGGGCCAAATCCAATCCTCCGTTTCAGCCCATTACTTCAATATAGTGACCCAACAGCCCATCCCCTTAAACTCAACCCGACCCAATTCTTTAATCAACAACGAAAACCCAATTCCGGTTCAGCCTTAACAGCAACAAGTACACATCAATTTCAACATACCCAAGCGGCGTTAATCACAACATCAACACAACAGCGAGCAAACGACGTCAAATTACACGGAGCAACTCACAATTCCAAATGGTGAAATACACAAAAAGCAGCAGCGGCAGTAGGAGTACAACAGTACGCTTCTTTTCCTTGTCGTCTTCTCCAATTACCCTCTACAAACAGTACACATAGTACTGTTCCAGCGCCGATTCCAGCAGAGAACTTCGTCCTTGCATCCTAGAGATGGAACCACGTAGCATTCGAAGGACGATGAGCCGATCCTAGCCCTCCATCTCGCCTTCAAAACGTTGAGATTGCGATAATCATTGGGAGTATGCTATGGTTCCGGATAGAATTCCGTTTGAAATTCAAATTTTGGCCCCTTTTCTAGCCCGATTTTGCCTTCGTCTATTTCCCCCCAAATTTGTCCTAAATCCTATCTATATAAACCCACCCTGTTCATTGTTCATGGGGGGATTTTTTTTGGAGAGAAAAGGGTACATAAGA